GTAAAAAGTTGGTGAGTAAAGAAGAAAGGAAAAAAATAAGTTTTTATTGTCTCTTTCTTATTATATGCACAACTCCTATTTATACATGGAGTAAGTCGGCAAAAACTTATTTCTATATGAAATAACAATAAAATAAGATGAATAACTATTTTTATCTATATAAATATGGATAATCATTATCCATTTCATAATATTTTTCCTTTTTTTCTCGATTATCAGTTCTGTAGAGAAAAATAAGAATATGCTTTCATACAACTTTTTTTGTTTTTGAATTGCTTTCCCCGGCCAGCGAATACCACTGTTTTTGTGACAAATCTATTAATATACATACGTCTTCTTCTTCTACTGTATAGTCTATATATATACACACACACCATTAACGAGACATAAAACACAAACCACAATCCACACACATGGCAAAGCTTATATTCATCATCGCCTCTCAAATCCTCCTCCTCGCAGCCATTGTCAACTCCGGAAAAGGCGAAGACTTTGCGAAAACCATTGACCGAAAACACTTTGGTCTTCGTAAGGAGAAACTCACTTTTTTCCGTGTCTACTGGCACGACATCCTAAGCGGCTCAAACCCTAGTTCGGTCTCGATCCGACCTCCTGTCTCCAACTCTTCCTTCTTCGGAGCGGTCACTGCAATCGATAACCGATTAACTACGGAGGTTTCGGTGAACTCTACTTTAGTGGGTAAGGCTCAAGGGGTCTACGCGGCTACTGGTCAGAGCGATGTATCTTTGCTTATGGTGATGAACTTTGCGTTTACGACAGGGAAGTATAACGGAAGTACGATCTCGATTCTTGATCGGAACGCTGTGTTGACCAAGGTTAGAGAGATGCCGGTGATCGGAGGAAGTGGACTCTTCCGATTCGCTGGAGGTTATGTTGAAGCTCGGACCATGTGGTTTGACCAAAAGTCATTAGATGCTACGGTTGAGTATAGTTGTTTTGTCTTGCATTATTGACGATAAAATGATTGACTGTATGTCTCTCTTTTTTTTTTCTTTATAATGTTTATTTGATTTGTTATGTTTCGGGTATGTTGTTTTCATGTTTTGTGTCGGTATGAGTGATGGATGATTAATGCATGGGTATTTATGTCTATTCAAAAAAAAAATTGATACGTATAAAGCTTTTGTATTTTTCGTGATTTTTCATTTTTGATACAGAAAAACGCAAAATATCATAACGAGTAAACCATGACATTAGAGTTTATATTTTGGGGTAGTAGCTATAGCATGAATTTTTCTTGAATCAGTTTTTCGAATGGTTTATCAAATTAGCAATGAAAAAACCACAAAGACATTTCATGAAGTTACATATGTTAGAGAGGTAGTCAAGAATTATAAATCCCATTATTTGGTTTGGCCGGACATCAATATTTTCATTTTTTAGTAGTAGTTAGTGTTTTAAAAACCGATATGACCAATGTCGACAGTACAATTTGCAATCCCCTAAATCTTTTTTCACCAATGTCAATCTCTAGTACCAGTTACAGAATCGAAGTTTGAAATTTTGAGTCTTTCATATTTTGAAGCATAGCATGACTGTGAATTGTTAAATAAAGAAAGCGAGTTTTAATGGACCTCATTTAAATTGGATTGGGTTAAATGAACATTATCAGCCAATACGTTTCCTTTTGAGAAATTTCAAAAATGCGTGCATACCACTTTACAAAAATGTCACATTTCAAAAAGTTTTGTAATAATGCCATTTTTTTTTTCAATATTCCTATATTGTTCTTGTCATTTGACTCATATAATTTGAC